TATAAAATATATCATATTATTAAAGATGCTTTGATTTTAATAGCAAATAATCCAAATATTTATGATATATTTATTTTTATATTTAATTATTTTTACAATTATTTTTATAGTTGAAGTATATCACTACTGATAATGCTGGGAATAACAATACATTAATTTTCAATCTTGGACAATGGACATTAAATCAATATGAATTTTCAATTAATAATCATATTAGATGCTTTGCTCATATTATCAATCTTGCTGTTCAAATTGCATTAAAGGAATTAAAATGTGAGATTGATCAAATTAGAAATATAGTTTTAAAGTGTCGTTCTTCTTCTCAACGCTGACAAAAATTTAATGAAATTTCAAGTCTTAACAATATCAAAAATTTGGTACCAATTTTAGATATTTTAACACACTAGAACTCAACTTATGAAATGATAAAACGTATCATAAAATTAAAAGTAGTAAGTATTTTTAGTTAATTTAATTTATTTAGAAGTTTGTATTATAATAATTTAATGACTTTATATAATTTTAGGTTTTTGAGAAGATTGTCTTTACTGAGGAATTTTCAGGCATAAGTGATTTTACGTTAAATCAATCCAAATGGAAGATTTTAGAAGAAATTGTATTTTTTTTAAAATGCTTTGCCAAATTATCAACTGAAATGTGCTCATCAAAATATCCAACAATTAATGATGTATACCCTATGTATAATCATATAATGAAATATACTGAAAAAACAATGAAACAAAAAGATGTTTCAAAAAATATATATAATGCGACACAAGCAGTATGAAACAAATTAAGTGAAGATTATAATAAAGCTTTTGAACCTATTCATTATATTTCAACAATATTTGATCCTCGTAGAAAACTTCAATACTTTCAAGGTTGGATAGAAAATAATGATAATCAATATTATAGAAATGCAAGAAATATGTAAATAAATTTTTTTAATATAAAAAGTATATAAATTTAAACTTATACATATTTTTTATTAAAATATAGTTTTACACATGAATTTGATCAATTTTGTTCAATTTATTTTCCAATTTTTTTACCAACTGCGACTACCAACTTAAATGATAGTGATAATGATGACAACTCATTATTTTCTCTTTCAAAATATTTTCAAAATAGTGATGGACGTGAAGAACTTAATCGTCATCTTGATAGTCCAATAGAATCAAGATCTATTAATATATTAGAATAGTGGAAACATCATGAGCAAAGTTATTCTACCTTAGCAATTATGGCTCAAGATTATCTTTCTATACTATCAACTAGCGCACCAGTTGAATGACTATTTAGTCAAAGTGGAAATGTAATTATTTTAGAACGAAACAGACTTTCAAGTGATACAATTCGTGCAATAATATGTTTGAAAAGTTGGTTAATATTATCAGATATAAGTTGTTATTACTGAAGGTTTTTTTTGTTGGCATTTAATTATAATAATAATATTGTTTATATGTATATATATATTATATTAATTTTAATTTTTGGAAGTATTAATTTGCAGATCATTTATTAAAAAGGGATTTTCCATATAAATACTCAGGGTTATTGCCAAATAATGATTTTCATGCTTTTTAGAATGTCAACTTCTTACCCCTATTAATTATGACAACTAAACAAAAACACCGTTCTGTTTTGTTAGCAACTGGTATTATTATACCAGAACTTTATATGGGCCTTTTTCCGTAAATTGGTGGTCACAAACAAGAAGTAAGTTAGCTTTACCTTATCGTATAGGAATGAAAGTCAAAGTAATGCTTAAAAACGAATTTATACTATTTGTATTATTAAGCAATTACACACAGATTTTAAACCAGGTTTAGTTGTAAAGTAGGTGAAATGTGTGAGGTATTTGAAACTTTTTCTGCAGCAATTAACAATATGTATAAAAAAAATAATAATCAAGGTACTGAGTTTTCAGGTCCTTTAATAATAGGGTTTGATAATCCTGATATTATAAAAGAATTACTTCATGATGTAATATTTCAATCATTTACATTTGTCATAGATAAGCTTATAGTTTTTGTTTCAAAGATAGGTACAGAATGGAATAATGAATGGAATGGAGTGGGTGAAGGATTTATTTCAACTTTTTCATCAAAATTTAGGTCTATAGGATGCTTATTTGTATAAAGAATCGCTAATTACCATTGTTATATAGAAATATATAGAAGTAATGAATGTGTAACAAGATATGAAGAGAGTACACCAACAGAAATTTGGAAAAAAGTGAGCGTGATGAAGAAAATTGATAGAAAGGTACTTTATGGTGTTTCTCATTCTGAGATAATAAATAAATTTCAAAAGTATCAACAACAATTTACCGTAAATACCTGTATACCAGAAGATTGGAATAATTTTGAAATAATGAATAAAATATTCGAAGATTGTCTTAAAAAAAATTGCTATATCAGGATTAAATTGGTATTTAATCTTTGATAATTTCTCTAAACAAAAAAGCACAATCATTGAGTTATCATCATGTTTAGAGCAGATTTATATAAAGGATTACCAATTTACTTTACATGAACTTGGAGTCTGACGTATTATGTTAAAATGAGTTGGATATTATAATGTTACACCATATACAAATGGCGAATTTCTGGTAATTATAACTTAAAGAATTATATACTTTTTAAGTTTATTATTAGTATAACTGATTTATATTTTTATTTATAGTATGAATATTAGAGTAAAGCAAAAGATCCGATATCTGATTATGAAACTTTATCAAATTTATATCAAATGGGTTTATTGAAAAGTTCAATATCAGATTTAGCTGTTAGTAAATTTTGGAAGTGCTTTAGTAATACAATGGAAATAAATAAAAGAGATGATAATGGTAAAAGACGAATTTTATCAGTAATTGCAGATAATTTTAAATATGAAGATTTGAAAAAGGAATTGAAGGTATTTTGTTATTAAATTTATTTAAAAAGAAAGTTTTTTTTATAATATTTATTTATTTAGCTACATTTTATATTAGGTGTCACATAAATTAATTACAGCTGCAAAAAGATTTAGTCATATCAATTGACTAGGTGGATTAGCTTTTCCTAAACCAGCTTTTAAATGAGTAAATATGGCTATTGGTAAAGAAAAACAATTTGAAGCATTTTTTGCTGACAAAGCAAATGTAAATATGAGTTCTTATAAAGTAGATCCTAAAACAAATATGCCAATATTATATTTGAAAGATCAAAAATCAGAATTGTGGAAAAAATTCTCATAAGAATATCCCGATGATATGAAAAAACATCATTTATGGCTAGATTAGCAAATGGACCATTTAGATATAGGAATGATCTTGGTGAATTATGTTCTATATGTAATGAATATGGATATCAAGTTTTTGAGGATCTTTTAATTTTGATAAATCAAATATTATAGATAAACGCATACAAGTAAGTTTATTTTATTTTAAATTATTTATATAGTTAAATTATTTATTTTATTTTATTTTAGAATGAACTTATTCATGAAATTGAACTTATACGATTTTATCTCAAACGAGAATTTGAAAACTATTTAACTATTACTAAAGAAGGAATAACATTACATAATGAATATATTAACCATTGTTTACTTTATGCATTTGATATATGTGATGAAGTACATAATTTAAGATGTTCAAATTGTGATAAGTTGTTTCATTTATTTACTCAATTATATATATATATTCCAATTGTATATCATGGAATATTAGAAGAAAAGAAAAGTTACTTATATTATTACTTATCACATCAAGCTCGAAAAGTATATTTAAATGCTCAGTATCAAGCTAGTTTATTGGAATTAGATAGTGAAGGCGCCATTATTATTGCAGATTATAAAATGAGAATATTACCTAAATCTGTAAGAGAAACCAAAGAAAATTTTTATGCTAAACGCAGATAGACATTGCATTTAATATTAGTTTTTACTAAACATGAATATAATGATAATTTGGAGTTAACTGCTTATGACCATTAGTCTAATGATATCAAGCAGGATGCTTGATTTACAGCTTCTTCATTTGATGTAGTATTTGAATCTTTAAGTACAAAGCCCAAATAGATAAAGATTATTACTAATAATGGACCTCATTATCATTGTTCATAACTTATAGCTATAGTAACTAATTGGTATGAATGGTATGGAGTTGATGTTTGTGAATGGATATTTTTGAAACCCGGAGAAGCAAAAACTACTATAGATTTTCATCATGCATCAGTAAGTTTTTGAATTAAATATAATTTTATTATTTTTTCTTTTATAATATACAAAATATACAAGTTTCAATTGGTCTTATATATATAAATCTAATTGTAGGTAGCACATGCTATAAAAAGATATATTCAGATTGGATTTGAATCATGATACAGATATTGAAAAGGCTATAAAAAACATTCAGGAATCCAGTGTAGCTCATCTACAACCAAATAGAAAAGAACAGACCAATGTTAAAATGCTTACTGGAATTTCAAATTTGTTAGAATGGAAATGACCAAATGAAGGAGACCTGTCTGAATATATACAAACACATAAATTACCTCACATTAGAAAATGGAAAGATATAGCTCCTGCTAAACTCGATAAATTGACAAACATGCCAATTGAAAAACCCACTTCAACTAATACTTCACATACTATTCCTAAAACTATTTGAATAATGTCACAATTAAAAAAACTCTAAATCATGGTTCGTGTTAAAATTTTTCTATTTTTATTTGATACTTATTGTAAAATAAAATATTTCATAAATTGATGAGTTTTTATTTCATTATAATTAGGTCAACCACTAAAAAAGTTCAATACAACAAATATTTTGCTTTTACAAGGCAAATATATATATATTAATATAAAATGCTAATGATAAAAAAATATACTTGTCCTTATTTATTACAGTTAGACCTCTATATACTGATATTCTATATACCAATATACTATTAAAAACTTTATATACTGATGAAATTTTATTTACCCACTATACTTGAGGTCATATAAATATCAGTATAATTTGATATAATGATATTTTTAAAAAAAATTCTATATGTCCCGACATATCATTATATAGAGGTTTGACTGTATATATTTTTAGCTGATGATAGTCTACTTGAATCTACATTTTAACTTGTCAAAGGTTAAGCGCTCAAAAGTAACCAAAAATATGGTCATAGAGGTGATAGTAACCATATGTCTTCACAAATTATAAAGTTGCTTAAAATATTTTTTGATCAGAGATGCTGATAAAACAAAAAGATATATAGCTGAAACTATATTAGAAGAGTTGAATAATATGGTAACAGAAGGTCATTTTGATATAAGCGAAGTTCCAAAACTTAAAACCATTCCCCTATAAGAAATCGAAATAAGAAAATGATATGTTTTTTATAAGGTTTGTATACGTAATTAATGATTCTATATAAAAATTCCATATATTTTATAATGATTTATTTTTTTATAATTTTTTAAAAAATTAATGTATATAGAATTATTAAGGAATTTTAAAATAACGTATAAAATTTACGTAAAATAAAAAAATAAAAAATAATATTTAAACCAAAAAAAAATTTTTTTTTTTGTATTTTTTAATGTATAGATATCAAATTAAGCTTGTGATAATTCTAAAGATTTATTACATCATTTTTGTCTAATAGATTAAC